ACCAGGGAACCATCCAGGGAACTTAATCTCACTGCTTCCTTCCTTTGGTGCAGCCAAAACCAGTGCTGTTCAAAAGGTGGAATATTCCTTATACAGTCTGTAAGATGTCATCAGTGAGGCAAAAGACATAAACAAAGCTGTAGACTTCAGCTCTTCTCCTTCTACCAGGGTCTCCACTGCAGTGGCATGGCTGGTCCCAGTAAGAAAAACTTAATTTGTGTCCTTCTTAAGCTGGTGTCAACTGTTCTAGGGTTGGGGTCATTTACAACTGGTGAGCCAGGGTCTTCATTAGATATTTAAAACTGAAAGAGGGGAGGTTTAGATGAGATATTAGGAAGAAGTTCTTCACTGTGAGGGTGGTCAGACACTGGAACAGGTTGCCCAAGGAAGTTGTGGATGCCCCCTCCCTGGAAGTGTTGAAGGTCAGGCTGGATGAGGCTTTGAGCAACCTGGTCTAGTGGAAGGTGTCCCTGCTGCTGGCAGGGGGGTTGGAACTGGATGAGCTTTAAGGTCCCTTCCAATCCAAACCAGTCTGTGATTCTATGATATTCAGCACAATTCTGAAAAGCTCCTGGACACAGTTGTACCTGTCAGTAGTAGGGCTTTTGAAGAAGTCCCACAAGCCTGCCAGACCCTGAATTTGAGCATCATCTGCCCTATAAAAGATGTCAGCACATGTGGTCAGGATGTATTAAAACCCATCGGTGGATGCCTGGCTCACCATGGTCTTTATTTTCTCTCTCACAGCAATGATGAGCCTGATGTGTCATCAGCTCGGTTGTTGTTCTGCCACTGCCAGCAGGCCACAGACCTGGCACAGCCCTGCAGGAGGACAGCCATGGGGCAGGCTCTGACCATGCTCAACATCCACAGGCACCTCAAACTCATGGGAGCTCCTCTGGTGGTATGACTGGGGAAGATGAACCACTTGGGCTGTGCAGCGTGAAGGCAGCTGGGGTGGATGTGAGGATGAGGGAGGTGTGAGCAGAGGGCAAGGCTGAGCACAAGAATCTGCCCCTTCCTCCTGAAGTTAGTGACAAAGCTCCCAGCAAGGAACAGACATGGGGCTGGACGGGACTGACACTCCATTGCACTGCTCAGCTTGCTTAGACCTTTCCAGGGAGCCCTCAAACCAACGTATGCTTCTCCAGTTGTCTGTAAGCACCGTGAATGGGAACAGGGTGGAGATGCCCCTTGGACTTCACTGGGACATAGAGAGTAGAATAGAATAGGTTTAGTTTACTGCAGTTGGAAGGGACCTACAATGATCATCTAGTCCAACTGTGTGACCATTTCAGGGCTGACCAAAAGTTAAAGCAAATTATTAAGGGAATTGTCCAAATGCCTCTTAAACACTGACAACTTGGAGCATCAGCCACCTCCCTACAAAGCTTTTTCCAGCGTTTGACCACCCTCTTGGTAAAGAAATGCTTCCTAATGTCCAGTCTGAACCTCCCCTGGTGCAGCTTTGACCCATTCCCACACGTCCTTTCACAGGATCCCAGGGAGAAGAGCTCAGCACCTCCCTCTCCACGTCTTCTCCTCAGGAGGTTGCAGAGAGCAATGGGGTACCCCTCAGCCTCCTTCTCTCCCAACTAGGCAAACCCAAAGTCCTCAGCTGCTCCTCTAAGCTCCCTACAGGAGTCTCAGCAGCCTGGGTAGGTGAATATCAGTGATTCACACCTTGGTGAGCACAGGGACGGGAGGCTCCATCCTACCTCCTCTTCCCACCAGGCAGTGAACTTCAGCAGATCTCCACTTCCCACTGGTGACATCACTGCCCAGCCAAAAGGATGGGTAGATGAGCTGGGAACTGTCCCTTTCAGCCAGGCTCCTGAGTTAGGCCTGTGGAGGGAAGACACTTTGTTAAGCAGCTCCATGTTGTCATGAAGCAGCATGTCCAAGGCGGGAAGGGAGAGGATGCCAGCTCTTACATGTTGTGACCAGGGTTTTCAAACTGCTCTGGGGAATGGATGCCAGGGAAATAAAAATTAATGGAGGTTTGACATCTGGAGTTGCTAAGTGACAAAGAACATACATAACAGCCCAGGTTTTTAACAGGGAGGGTCATGACAGGTTGGAACAATTTAACTGTGGTTTTGTGGGTTCTCCTTTGATGGATGTTGTAGAATCAGGGTTGGAGGCTTTTTCTTGACAGTATCCTTATTTCTGTGCCTGGGGAACACATGGTGGCTTGGGCTGTGCAGGAGAAGAGCTGAGGTACTTTCAGTGGTGTGGAGATGTGCTGGAATATAACCATGTCTCTTCTCCAGACAGAGGTTGCTGAGGACCCAGAGAAGGTTTCCACCGTTCACTTACAGCTTGGGCTACCACTTGTGTTCATCCTCAGCCAGAAAGAGACCTATGAGGCTGACAGGAGGACAGCAGAGTTTGTGGCCTGGCAGCTCTTGGGGAAAGCAGGAGTTGCCCTTTTATCCAGGTATTTGCTCTCAGGTGTTTTGGGGTTCTCCTTGCATTTTGTTTCCGAGCTCAGTTAACCTACAACCAAGATGGTAATGGGCTTATTGAGATTTGTGTGAGAAGTGATAAAACTGTGAGAGGATGTCACCTTTAAGGACTTGTCCAGAATCAGATAAATTTGGTTTCAGACTGGCTGGAAGTGTAGAAATGTTTGAGTTTCTTGCTGAATTAGAAGTGGAAAAACAGTCAGACTAAGAGAGATTTCAGAAAGAAAACATGGCACAGATGAAGGGCTTGTGTTTTGCCCTCAAATTAAGGGCAGAAGGAGATCCAGTAAAGGAGGTGGACTCTGGGTGCTGGGGCGTGGCAGGGGTCTCTGCTCAGTAAGCAATGCCTCCTCAGCCAACGAGGGCTCTCCAAGTTGTTCTCTAGGAGGACAGGAGACACGCTTGTGGTTGGCCATAGAGCAGCTGTGCTGTGGAGATCTGGCTTCCTCTGTGGTTGACCACCAGTTACTTACCTCTGCTCCATGGGCTCAGGAGCAGCCTGTGTCCATGAGGCTGGCTTCTGTTTGCAAATACTTCCATGGTGCCTTGCCAAAGGAGATGTGCAGCACCCACAGGTGTGGTTGCCTGGCCTTTGGGGATGTCTGCTGGCAGCTGTGCAAATGGAAGGAGATGGAGGAAGGGTGGGTGTGGGCTCTCTTATTCTAGCTTTCTACCACCATGGTACCTCCCTATATGGAGGCACTTCTTAGCTGCATTTACTCCTGAGCTGAAGTCCACCAGCAGATCAGCTGCACTGGGATGTGGCCACCAATGCGTGAGCAAAGATCCAAATCACAAAGGAAATCCAAGCCCCTTGTGAAACAGGGACATTATGCAGTGCAATCCCACCAGAAGATCACTTGAAGCCTGTCTCTCCACCACTAACACTGATTCTGGGTTTCTGCAAGTTCTCGGGGGCCCTGAAGCACAATTCTGTGAGGACATGGTGCTGCTGAGAGAGGTGGGCTTACCAGCCAGGCAGGCTGAATGGGGAAAGGACCTTAAAGTGTTGCACCATCTAATGTTCACTTTGTTTTTTCGAAGGGACCATGTAAATTTGAACGTTCTCCTCCGCTCAAACGTTGCTCTCAAGACACCAGATGAGGTTAGATGCTGGATTTCTTTATTGTACAACTCTTATTTCCCTATCTGTATTTCCCATAATGATTCTATGATCTGGACATGGTGTTCTTGAGAGGCATTGAGGTGTTGCTCAGCTCCTTTGTTATTTGACAGCCTTCCCAGAAGCTCAAGGGGAAGTGGCTTTCCCCAGATGCACACGTGTATTTGGAACTGCCTGAGTTTGGTACTGCAGAGCAGTTGTGCCTGATGCTAAAGATAAAATATTGAGTTTATTTATCATAGAATCATAGAATGTTTTGGATTGGAAAGGACCTTAAAGCTCATCCAGTTCCAACCCCCCTGCCAGCAGCAGGGACACCTTCCACTAGACCAGGTTGCTCAAAGCCTCATCCAGCCTGGCCTTCAACACTTCCAGGGAGGAGCAGCCACAACTTCCTTGGGCAACCCACTTTTGGGGTTCAAAAGATAGAGTGACACCTCAATTACACCTTCAGGCAACACAAGGTAAACTACCCAAGGTAGTAGTCCAAGTGCAAATTCCCCAAAGATTTGGACTTTGAAATGCCTTTGCCCCCTTAGGAAAAGGGTTCAAAAGATGGAAGAGGAAATGAGTGTGAAACTAAGAGCAAACTGAGAGCATGTAACCAAAGGTCTGAGCTGAACTGATGTCACCAAATGCCTCTGGCAGTGATCTGGGAAAAGAGCAGGCTGTAAGTTAAATGAGGTTGATCAAGATGAGCTCAACTCTGGAGGGATCTGACCCAGCTTGTGAGGCAAGATGGAATTCGGCGCTGCCAAATGCCAGGGAGCACATGTTGCCCCAGATTACCTGAACTGTCACACTTGTGATTGCAAAGATACAGGATCAGACCTGAAGCTGAACATCCCCCGAGGGCTTCCCATGCCCTGGTGAGAGATGTGCATGTTGTGTTTCTTCTCTTGGAGCCAACGGGAGGTGCTGGCAGTTTGTTATTTCTCTCAGTTCATTATCAAATTCATTTTCTCTGAAGTGCCTTTTGCTGAGACGGTGCCAGAGCTGATTTTAAGGTCTCATTTCTGAGAAATACACTTTTTCTTTCCTTGGGTTGTCAGCCCATGTACACTTGGGAGCACTCTTCTTTGTTGAACTCCATGAGATAAAGGATTTTTTGTGCCTCTTGCCCAGGCTGTGATGGGCTGCTCTGACCCAGCCTGACACCCTTTAGAGGGGGGACAGCCAAGTGGATCCTGTACCTCCCCACTCTCTTCACTCTTTGTCCACTGGGCCTTTTCTTGCAGCAGTGGATCTATGTTAAGATACTGGGAGGTGGAGCACCAGGCACAGGATCCCACATAGCCACAGTTTCTTCCCGGCAAGGAAAAGTTGGTCTGGAGTGAGAAAAACTCGAGGTGAAATGGTGTCAAAAAAACCACACCCCAGAAACTCCCCTGTTTGGTAGCTTTAGGAATTGTGAAACCCCACCTGGAGTACTACATCTAGTTCTGGGGCCCCAACATAAGGACATGGACCTACTGGAGCCAGTCCAGAGGAGGCCACGAGGATGATGCAAGGGCTGGAGCAGCTCTGCTGTGAGGACAGGCTGAGAGAGTTGGGGCTGTTCAGCCTGGAGAAGAGAAAGCTCTGGGGAGACCTTCTAGTGGCCTCCCAGTACCTGAAGGGGCTCCAGGAAGGTGGGGAGGGAGTTGGGACAAGAGCAGGGAGTGACAGAACAAGGGGTGATGGCTTGAAAGTGGCAGAGGGGAGCTGGAGCTGAGATGTGAGGAAGAAATTGTTTGGTGTGAGGGTGGTGAGACAGTGTCCTAGGTTGGCCAGAGAAGCTGTGGCTGCTCCTCCCTGGAAGTGTTCTCGGCCAGGTTGGATGAGGCTTTGAGCAACGTGGTCTAGTGGAAGGTGTCCCTGCTGCTGGCAGGGGGGTTGGGACTGGATGAGCTTTAAGGTCCCTCCCAACCCAAGCCATCCTATGATTCTGTGATTCTATTAATTTGTTGACATACCCCAAAAATAAGGAGTTGGGTGATGGTGACCCATCAACTTTGAGTTTAGTTTGTGAATAGAATAGGCAGATATGTTTTGATCCCACTGATTTATTCTGTTTTCTTTAGGGAGTGCCAATCAAATACCTGGTCTTGGAAGACACTGATGAAATTATAACCCTGGTGGAAGATAAGAGCAAGGTTGAACAAATCCAGGAGGGTGAGGAGGAGGAGGAGGAGGAGGAGGAAGATGAGGATGAAAAAGAGAACAGTAATCAAGGTGTGCAACTAAACAGTGCAAAGCTGATTGTCATCAGATGGGACATGCAATCAGCATCTGCTAGAGACAGCAAGTGTATGTGAAAGCGTTAGAGGACACTTCTGCATATCCAAGGCAAACCATCACAGTCACATCACAGTGGTACAAAATGGTTCTTTTATTCTCTGAAGATCTCTGGAGTTTTGTGACAGACAGGCATAATTTTTAGGGGAAACACCATGGGAAGAAAATCAGCAGCTGTTAGAGGAACAGTTGCAGAGGTGCTGCATGAGGGAGAGGGTTGCTTCTGCTTTCATCCATCCACCTTCAGAGGCACGAGAATTTAAAGTTCACCCGACGCTGTCTCCCTTTCAAGCATCAGACAAAGTGCCTCAGAATTATCAGTCCCTTTGGAAGGGTTTCAGACATGTTTTTCTAAAAGCTGTTCCAGACTTGCCTTCCCCAGGGAGAAAATGCTGCTCCCTTCAGCGCTTCCTTGAAAACACTTTTGTTTTCCATACAAAATTGGGTTTGTTTTCCAAAAAGAAGTGGTGCAGGATCCTGGAGCAGCCAACGTGCTTAGAGAATAGTGTTGAAATCAGAGGGCACAACTGGTGTGAGACACCAAAAGTACATTTCAACGAGTTTGTGTGTCTGTCAATGAGTGTGTCTTGTGCTTTTGCCTTCTCCTTTTGGTCAGTTAACCCCCTGCTGACAGTCACCATGTCCCAGCTGAGAGGTTCTGCTTTACTAAAACCTGCTGATGGGGTGGCCCAGGGGGCTGTAGTTCCCTCTGTCCTCTGCACATATCTGTGTTGATGCACGACTGTTGATCCTTTGCAGATATTCAGGATGATCAGGTGGTGGAAGCAGTTTCCAGGGACAAGAAGAGAGAGCTGCCCCTGGAGCAGATCCTTGTCCTGACCGAGGAGACCTTCCACTCTGCTCTCCTGGAGACTGCCCGGACGGTGGTGCTCTTTTATGCCAGCTGTGAGTATGAAACTCCAGCTGGAGAGTTGGGCAGGGAGGGACCTGGTGAAGTTCAATAAGGGCAAGT